GATAAAAATCGGCCGATTTTATTTTTTAGCCGGAAATCATCGATCGTTTCTTAGGCGCAGGGCCTCTTAATATGATCGAAGTAAAATCACAACATTATTTTTTTTTCAAAAACATACAAGAAATAACTTAAAATTCTTCATTCGGATTGGCTCAGATAAGAACATGTTCATTTATTTCATGTAGTGCTCGCCCCCTAGCATGTTATTGATAAGCTATTGTTATTGATAAGCTAAGCTAGCATGTTATTGATAATCTTGGAGCGCGGTGTCCACATGGTTACTGAGCTGCACTCCGGATCGAGCGGTCCGGGGGTCATTGTTCCAGAAACTTCACTCTCATAGTTCCTCTCGCTCAGGTGTTTGGGTACCGGTACATTGTTAGGGTAACTTGTCAGAATGATAACTAACCTACGATGGACCTAGTGTCCCACCCGGGGGCGTAGCAGTACTGTACTCCCTGTTTTCATGCTGCAGCAAAGGGAGTTAAGCTTCAAGTGTTTGCTATGATCCAGTTCGGCTAAATAGGATTTACTTTTTTATATCAGCTATTCAAAAAAAAAAAAAAATAGTAATATGACTTGAGCTAGAGTAATAGTAATATGTTTACAGAGTACCTACTCATACAGTCAACTCAATTGGTTCATTGTTTCTACTGAATATGAAAAAAGGTAATCTTAAATGACTTCAAAAAGTTCAAGTTTCTTAACAAAAAGGAATTTGCACTGATAAAGTTAATCCAGTGGCAAAATTAGTCCTTAATTTACACATGTAAAAAGTCAAGTATGATTCGAGCTACGTTCCCGCTTGAGATATCTTTTGCTGTGGCAGTTATTTCCGTTCTACCAAAATACAAGCTGACTTCAATGTTTCTATCTTTACCTCTCCAAGTGTCGGGGGACTGAACCGTAACACTACCAATCTTCGTCATTCCAGGGTCTGTGACATATTCGGCATCAGGATTGCTAGTAGCATATAAGTCACATGCTATGTTGACGTCGCTTGCACGAAGTAGAGTGTAATTTCTTGTAATTTTCTGACCAGTTCGTACTGTGTCATTCACTCTCACAAATAGGCTGAACAGATTGTTACACATCTCAATGCCATCCGTAACAAACTTATGTTGTTCACGATGAACGCCTTGGATAAAATTCCGCGAACATTCCGCCCCATAAGTTGAGCGCACCACTCTTTCGGTTATTTTCGAAGGTTTCTTGCCAAACATGGCGGCACCTTGAACGACTGCAATGGCTGCATGATTGGGGATGAGCACCCTGGACTTCCTAGAAAACTCACTCTTCATTTTTTTCTGAAGAAGAGCAGAATCGGCAAACCCTCCAACCAGAAGCATTGTTTTCACCCTTGACAGCTGTGGATTTCTCAGCAGGGATCTCAAATGTTGCTTAATGTCCTCAATTACCGGAAGAAACAACTTTATCATTACTGCTGAACTGAGAGCGAGATACTTATTATTTTTCAGTTTAATATCTTTCTCACCGTAGCGTGATCTCCAGCACTGATTTGCCAGGGACACAAAACTGCGTGGTAAACGGATGTTTGTCATCAGTGTGCTGTCTAAGATGCGTTCTCCCTTCTTCTTGCCCTCGAACTCGTTCATCAGACAGAGCCAATCAGATGAATACTGTTTCCGGTAGGTTTGAAGCTCCCGCGCATCGAGCAGCTCATCCAAAAGTGCTTCAAATTGTTGATTCACCTTTATTCCACCGTATGGACCTCCTGTCACCTTGTGGATCTCTTTGATGTTACCGTCGTCCTGTTTGGCGTGTACTGTGACGTCAAGGGTGCCTCCTGAACAAAAACAAAGCCAAGTTGATTAAAACAGTCAGTGCAACTAATTACTTTTTGCTCATATACTGAAGACAAAACCTTCGCTTTTTACTAGTTTCCTATTCTTTTCTCTTGTTGCTTTAAGACGGAAAAGACCTCGTTGATTAATGGAGGTCCTCGGTTGACTTACAATTCCCATACAGAACTTGAAGTTTTTTATTTAATTGAGACTAAAGCGGTTAGCCTGCATTTAAAGGAATATTTCCAAAACTTTCCTTAGTAATTTTGTTTTGCACCCAGCTGCTATACTTAATTTTGTACGTAACACAAAAAGAGAAACTATGACGATGCGTTACCTCCAATATCAACAACCATGTAATGTGTATTTGGTTGACACAGAAGTCCTTCTACCGAGCTGCTACCGGTCTCTGATTGGAATTCTCTCATGTTCTTTTCCAGACAGCAAATTGCGGCAGCTTCGGGTTCAAGAGCAATCATTACCTGCTCTGGATTGTCAGGCGACCCCAAACCAGCCTAAAAAATCGAATTAGTCAATCAAGAAAAATAAATTAAATAATTAGTAATCAAGAAAAATAAATCTTTATAATTGTCAGACTAACCATTTGCAAAGCAGAAAACATTGAGACCTACATGAATTACATTTGCTATGCCAACGCAAGTTTAATGCCATACAATTTGAGCTAAGAAAACACTAGAATCCTTTCACAAGTATCATTAGAACTCTGATCAAATGACCCAGTTACCTCACGCAGGTCAGTGGGGAGGAGCTATTCTAATCGTTTGCATTTTCATTCCCAATGAAGCACATGTTTTGCCTCCTTTATACTTTGGAAACCTTCGAGATTTTATTGTTGGACTTCTCTCGCTCTTCACAAACATAACTTATTTAAATACTCGTTTATTACTATCGAGCAGGTAAAGTCAAGACTTATTTGAATCAAATCTAGTGGAAGGAGGGCAAAAATTCCAAGCGTCCTATTCTACTAAATACGTCAACCTATTGTTGCTGTTGTTGTGGTTCTTTTTGTTTCTTTTATTTTTTTTTTCACAGTAAATAAAAATAAATATAATCGATGGATGTGGGAAAAACCAACCCAATCATATTATAAGGTAAATCATTTCATTATAATAATTTAGCAGTAGATAAAACCAGAAATTCGATACATAACATAAAATGATATCGATATTACTTGCTTGAAATTCTGGTCTGGAATACTACGCATTGTTTGGAATGGTGAGCTCAACATCATATCATCTCACCTCNTTCGCTCATGTTCTTTTCCAGACAGCAAATTGCGGCAGCTTCGGGTTCAAGAGCAATCATTACCTGCTCTGGATTGTCAGGCGACCCCAAACCAGCCTGAAAAATCGAAATAGTCTTAGCTTTTAAATCAAGAAAAATAAATCTCTATAATTGTCACACTAACCATTTGCAAAGCAAAAACATTGAGACCTACATAAATCACATTTGCTATGCCAACGCAAGTTTGATGCCATACAACTGAGCTAAGAAAACACTAGAATCCTTTCACAAGTACTAGTATTATCAGAACTCTGATCAAATGACCCATTTACCTCATCCAGATCAGTGGGGAGGAGCGATTCTAATAGTTCGCATTTTCATTCCCAATGAAGCACATGTTTTGCCTCCTTTATACGTTGGAAACCTTAGAGATTTTATTGTTGGACTTCTCTCGCTCTTCACAAACATACATCATTTAAATATTCGTTTATTACTATCGAGCAGGTGAAATCCACACTTATTTGAATCAAATCTAATGGAAGGAGGGCAAAATTCCAAAGCGTCCTATTCTACTAAATACGTCAACCTATTGTTGCTGTTGTTGTGGTTCGTTTTGCTTCTTTTATTTTTTCACAGTAAATAAAGTTAACTATAATCGATGGATGTGAGCGAAACCAACCCAAGCATTTATTTGATTATAATAATTTAGCAGTAGATAAAACCAGAAATTCGATACATAACATAAAATGATATTGATATTACTTGCTTGAAATTCTACTTGTCTGGAATACTACGCATTGTTTGGAATGGTGAGCTCAACATCATATCACCTCACCTCATAAGCTGCTTCTCTCATGAACTGTTTAGCTTTTGGAGTCCATATTGCTGGGACGGTCAGAACCCACTGGATATCATTTGCCCTGAAATGTTCATCTCCAGTCCGCTGACAAATTACTTTAATGGCCTCTTCCTTTAAAAACCTAATTGAATAGGCAAATACTGTCTTGGCTTTGACAAGGCGCCCGTTGACAGCTTTGATAGATGTTTCTGTATTGATGGTCTGCGAAGAGAAATATTCAATGGCATGAATATCTTTTGTATAGGCACAATGGTCAATTTCAATATATTAAAAATCTGATATGTTCTCTTAAACGCTTACTGTTGATTAGTTTCTATCGGCTTATGATTGACGACGTTTGAAGCCCCGAATAATCAAAGTTGACACAAGAGAAGAGCATGCATTCTAATTGTAATAGTATAGCTCAGTGGTTGATCTATTAAACGTAGATTATCTTTAAAATTATGTTCTGTTTATGCCATAGACCATCTTACTGCTCTTTTTTGATGTCTGTGTAATCAATTAAATTTGAAGTTTGTCAATATAGTCAACAGATGGCAATGTTAATTGCTAACAAACCCCCGAATTATGCTAACGTTGCCCTAAGGGAAAGCATTTCTTATT